AAGACCAGATTCTGATTAAAATAGTTTGTAAAAATATTGAAAATATAATTATTTTAGCAAAGAAACCAGCAAAACATTACAAGATATATAAAATTCTAGTTGCCAATATTACGTATCTTAGAAGTCTGGGTGGCATTATAAATTGTGCAAAAACTTTTCTCATAGGAAAAACTGGTTTGCCCATTAGGTGAAAGAACAAAGATGCTGGGGAAAAAAATCTTTATTAGTTTTGTACTTAGTGACCAAATCTACTCATATTTCTAATTTGATTCTGTCCTAGAAAACAGACACACAAAGCTTGGTTATTGAGCCCTAGCTGTGTGTTAGGCTCATGTGAAATGCTCTGTGTGCCATTATAACAACAATGCACCTGCTTTGGTTATTAAATACCATGTAATAGCTTTCCAGCCTTTTCCGGAAAACTAGGTTCTACTGAGTGGTTGGTTACTCTTTACAAAATACTTGCTTTATTCTCCCAAGTAGTGCCACAAACGATCTGTTAATAGAGCTGACTACTTTTAAGAAAGCAAAAATAAAACAAGATGAAAAAGAGAGGAACGCATACACATTTTAGAGCAGAGTAAACCATAAGATCAGATATGAAGCCCACACAGCTGCAAGCATTCTTTTGGGAACCCCACACTTGGGTTCATCTGAAATGCTTAATGTAATTCCCTAGGTCAGTCATGTAGAAGTAATATAATTTGCACATTTCTGGAGCAAAAGTTGAATATAAGCTGCTGAATGAAAAAGCTGGGATCCTGCTACCAGACTAATTCTTTGTGTCTGCACCAACAAATATAATTTTGCTTCTGTTTATTTCCCACACTATATTTGTTAGGAAATCTGGGCTTCTTCGCACAATAAATTTCTATTTTTTCCAAGTGCATTTCCATTTAAACTCAATAAACAAACATCCCTACATCTTATATGCGTCTTGGGTACTATTGCTAGACTAAATCTAATATTTCCTGTGCTTAATTTCTGTAAAAATTGGCTGCATTAAACAATCAATTGGGATTTTTCATTATTTCAAAAGGAAGGGAAGCATGCTTTGCTCATTATCCAAAGAATTTGTTTGCATGCATGGCAAAATAGATCTATATCAAATAGATGATCTTTAGATGATCAGCCAATTAAACCTATAATTTTAAAAAATATTTTATTTAATAATAATAATAATAATAATAATAATAATAAAAAAACTTTATTTGTATGCCACCCTATCTCCCTGAGGGGACTCGGGGCGGATTCCAACATAACAATGGCAAACATTCAATGCCTACACAAAACATATGATACTGACATAAAACCCCTGAAAAACCCACATAAAAATAGTATTAAAACCTAACATCAAATTAAAAACCTAGAATCAATAAATTAAACTTGACATCAATAAACTGAACTAACATAGTCAAACAAAAATCTATAATAACATAGATCTAAGCAAAACATCCACACTAGTGTACAACAGCCAGCAAGAGTTCACCAAACAGTGTGGGTTTGTTATGTGGTTGTTGGGCTGGTGTGCATCAGACAAGCCTAAATAATTCTTAACAGAGGCCTGGCAATAATCTCTCAACCATCTAATCCTCCTCCTCTCCATGTGTTAGTGTGCATAAGTAGGTCTTCAGTTGTTTTTTAAAGGAGAGGAAGGAAAAGGGCAACTTAATTTCTTTAGGGAGGGAGTCCAGAGGTTGGGGCAACCACGGAGAAAGCCCTCTCTCTCGTTCCCACAAGCTGTGCTTGGGATGGGGTTGCGACCGAGAGCAGGGCCTCCTCCAATGACTGCAGTGCCCGGGCTGGTTTATAAGAGGAGATGTGACCGGTCAAATAAGAAAGGCTTCTTTAAGCTTTCACTTTAGGTTAATCATCAGTTTCTACATTTCACTTACTTTCATCATAACTATAATATTTATAAAAACTGGAGACAGCAAATGTTTCTTACAAGAAGAAATCTCACACATGGAAGAAAATACCTGCTACAATACATAACATGCATCAATTAAAAATAAGCATTTTTTTTTTCTAAAAAGCTACTTTGGTCATGATTACGCAGATAAAATATATTCAACTAACAAATTAAGATCGCTATCCTAGAATCACTTATATGGGGATAGCAACCTAGAATTCAATGGGATGTTCTATGCAGGCATGGAGAAGAGTGCAATCAAAGACTGATATCTGTTAAAATCACTGGAGCATACTTCTGAGAAAATCTGTGAAATAGTGCATTATAAGGTCTTTGTAATCAAACAACTGCCTCATATTGTTACTAATTTGCTGCCTTTTTTCCTAGAGTGAACCTTTTATTAGCTACAGCTAAAAACTCTTGTGTGTCCTTCAAACCCACTTACACATAGTCAACTCAAACACCAAAACCAAGATATACTCGAATTATTTTGATTTACAGTCAAACTTCAGGTGGTCCAAAGAGCTGCAGCCAAGTTGCTCACTGGAGATGGCTACAGAGAGTGGACAACCACCCTGTTGAAGCAGCTCCACTGCCTGCCAGTCTGTTACTGGGTACAATTCAAAGTGCTGGTTATGACCTTTAAAGACCTAGACGGTTCAACACCAGGCTATCTGGCCAACTGCATCCTCTTGTACCAACCTGCTCAGGCCCTGAGATCTTCAGGAGAGGCCCTTCTCTTGGTCTCACCTCTATCTCAAGTTCAGTTGATGGGAACGAGAGAGTGGGCCTTTTAGGTGCCTGCCCCTCAACTCTGGAACTCCCTGCCCAGGGAAGCCAGAATGGCCCCCTCCCTGCTGTCCTTCAGGTGGCAGGCTAAAACCTTTTTATTTAGACATGCTTTTAAAGAAAAAGGTTTTTAAGATTGGCAGGGGTTGCTATGATTTTATATGGTTTTAATGGTGTTCAATACTGTTTTAATACCTGTATATTTGTATATTTGAAGTATTGCAATGCTTTTCGTTGTGAGCCGCTTTCTATCTCCATATGGATAGAAAAAGCAGGATATAGATAAAGATAATAATAATAATAATAATAATAATAATAATAATAATAATAATAATAAACACAGCACACCAGACATTACAATTGTGGAAAAGAAAAAAGTTTGGGTTATTGATGTCGCCATACCAGGTGGCAGTCAAATTGACAAAAAACAACAGGAAAAACTCAGCTGTTAGCAGGACCTCAAAATCAAACTGCAAATGCTCTGGCATAAACCAGTACAGGTGGTCCCAGTGGTCATCGACACACTGGGTGCTGTGCCAAAAGATCTCAGACGGCATTTGGAAATAATAAACATTGACAAAATCACGATCTGTCAACTGCAAAAGGCCACCTTACTTGAATCTGCGTGCATCATTCGAAAATACATCACACAGTCTTAGACGCTTGGGAAGTGTTCGACTTGTGATTTTGTGATATGAAATCTGGCATATAGATCTCATTTGCTGTGGCATACTGTGGTTTTGTGTCAGTAAAATATTAAGGAGGCTTAGCACAGCTGGTAAATCATCAGCAATTATAAGATCTATCAACCAAAAGGTTGCAAGTTCGAAGCCCCAGATTGGCGTGAGTGGCCAACTGTCAGCCCTAGCACATTGTTTACCTAAACAACTTGAAAACAGCTTTAGCTGTGATTAGAGAAATTAGGTACTGCTAAACAAAAAAAAGCGGGGGAGGTTTTTATGACGCCATAAAGGAGGAGAATGCTGGACTACCGAAAGGAAGGAGGAAGTCCTGACAGCTCTCCGTCACAGAGAATGGAGCAACAGAACCCCCTGGACTCAAACCCAACCTTCCATGGCACCTCCTGTTCTGTCTGTGTATTGTCTATACAAAGCAGCATTGAATGTTTGCCGTGTATGTGTACTGTGATCCAACCTGAGTCCCCTTCGAGGTGAGAAGGGCGGAATATAAATACATTATTATTGTTGTTGTTGTTGTTGTTATTATTATTATTATTATTATTATTATTATTATTATTATTATCATCATCATCATCACAGCCAAGGGTTTGCTTGGCATGATTTGACTTTGGCTTCCTCTAAGGTTGAGAAGATTACCGTATATGGAGCACAAGAATTTCAAGGGCCATCCAGTCAAACACTCTGCCATCTAGGAATACAAAATCAAAGCACTTCCAACCGATGGCCATTATGCTTCTGTTTAAAAATCTTAAAAGAAGGAAACTTTACCATACTCCGGGTAATCTAGTCCTCTATTGAAAAGTGTTAATTTGATGTGCTTGTTAAGAAAAATACACTGAAGGGTCTTATGAAAGGTCTTACTAAAATCATGATACACTACAACCACGGTACTCTCATCTACTCAGATTGTAACTCTATCTAAGAAAGAGATAAAATTAATTTGGCATGGCTTTGGGGGAAAAAACATGCCGATTTTTTGTGGGCATGGCATTTCTTACTGACTATATAATGCTCTAGAATCTTTTTTATTATTGATATCAGATTGGCAGGGCAGTAATTGTTAAGGTCCTCTTTGTTTCCATTTTTGAAAGGAGGATACTTTCCCTCCTCCAGTCTGCTGGGACATCTCCTGTTCTCCAGGAATTCTCAAAGTTGTTTGTGATTGTTTTTTAAATTACTTCTGTCAGTTCCTTTAATATTACTAGATGTAATTATCTGGCCCTGGAGACGTCAGTTCGTTTAGATTAGCCAGATAATCCTGTACTGCCTCTTTACCTATTCTATTCTTTATTTCTACTGCTGCATCCTCTGTTCATCCTTAAGTTGAGAAGTGTTAATTGTTTGGTAGAAAACAGAGGCAAAGAATATGTAGAGCAGCTCTGCCTTTTTCTTTCTCCCCTTTTAATATTTTGTCATTTTCTCAACGCAGTGGCCCTACTGTTTACGCGTTCTTCCAATACGCAAACTAATACATCAAGGTGGCTCAGAGTTTGGAATTTCTAAAGGCCATTCTGGCTCCTGAACCTCAAATCACTAACATTTTAAAGCAAGAGAAAATCAGTTTCAGACCCCCATACAATTTTTTTGATGTAACTTACTTGATTCACTTCTAGCAACATGTCTTTGGAGGAAATCAACTATCTGTGCCAAAGCCTTCTTGTTACAGTGTGTTGACAGCTCTTCATTACATTCATAACACCTAAAATAAGCATTTCATTATTGTAATAACTGATCTCAAGACAACAAGCAAATTGTTATTGCACTAATTCAAGTACTGCGATTTTTTATCACACAAAAAAGACACCGGAGCTACCACTGCATGAACTGTATTTTACAACCCCTTATATGAACTACATCATACAATTGCTATACAACAAGAAGTATCTGAGGTGATGGTCCCTGGACTAGTAATTATCTGCTCTAGATTTTTTTAGCAAGTTCTCAGAAAAGAAATAAATAACTGCATCCCGCTATATCAGATACCTGGAGAATTGTCTTAGGGGATTTTGGAGCCCAGAATTACACATTTTAGAATATTCAAACTAGATTTCCAGGATGTCAGGAGAGCATGCTTCTGGAACATGGCTATACAGCCTGGAAAACTCACAGCAATCCTATATGTGTATAAATTAACTGCAACCCCCACATGTAAGCCTCTTCCTCAATCAATTTCAAGACTCTGGTCAGGCAGATTTCATGGCCAATAGCAAGACAGTCTTCCCCTTGGTTTTATAATATTTTTACTGGTGGGAAAATCTAGAACAAGAAAAGTGTATACCATATATTGTTTCTGACTTCTGAGTTTGCCAAATGAAAGTATTTTGTGGCTTTTCTTTGGGCCAACACAGTTATTTGTCTTCTTTCATAAACATAGGCAAGTCTCTCACTAAATAAAACAAAAATGTACTTACCATACAATCCATGTGCTGAGATTGATTACAATGCAATGAGGTTCTACCCGTACTGTTTGGAAATGCTTTAGAGAGTGCTGGCCTTCTGAGTTTTGACTGCAGCCCTAAGCGATATGAAATACATGTTAAACTACAGCTATCTAAATTGGCACAATCAGTAATTTAAAAATTCCATTAACACAATTTAGTTAGAAATTTCTGTAAACAAGACATGTCAATTCACCTTTGTCTTCTTGCCTGATCTGGGATATCCTGTTCCCCCCACAATGCACAGTACACGCAGTCCCCAAGTTACAAGAAAGATAGATTCTGCAGCTCTGTTCTTAAGCTGAATTTGTATGTAAGTCAGAACAGGGACATTTCTTAAGTGTAACTCCAGATATATAATATATATATTGCTTTGGATAACATAGGGAAGGGTTAACATCCCTTTGGTGATTGTTTTGCTTTCTGTGCCCTTGTTCAGAAGATTTCACCTCACTTTCTGTCCCTGTGACAAATGGATTTTGAAAAGTGCTTGTTGTGGAAATGAGGATAAATAAAGCTTCAGTGGAGACACCTTTTCCCCATGACAACTCTTTTAAGAGTGAATTTCCCTTCGGTAGGTAGATTTCTCTCACTTCCTGTTGTCTCACCCCTGTTCTTAACTATGAGTCATTTGTAAGTCAGATGTTTGTAACTTGAGGATGGCCTATACACTATGTGGACTGTTCCCATAAAAGCCAACAAATTCCTCCTTACGGATATATACTACCTCAATGACACATGAGCAGCATCACAGATATGTCATTCAATCCATGCTAACTCTCTGCATCTCAAAAAATCCAGCTTAGAGTTCTGCATCAACTAACATGATGTTCTACAGATTTCCACTAAATGAGCAACTTTTCCTCAAAATAGCCTGATTCATATAACCAAGAGGAAACAAGATGCTGCATGTTTCTAATCATGAAATGATACTATAGTGACCCCTCACCATCAGGGTTAGCCCTTATCGGTACATCCCTGAAGTTTCATATACCCTGCCTCCATCTCCCCAAAGGGGCCTGGGGCAGCTTACATGGGGACAAGCCCGAACAGCATAATAAAATAGCACATTAAATATATAATGGCAACATAAAACAGAATAAAACAACAACATTATAACAAAATAAAAAAGCAAAACATCAACCAACAACCAATGAGCTCTATGACAACCATCAGTTTCTGGGTACAAGTGGTCGGACTGGTGCAAAGACAATTGTGAGGATAGGGCTGATGGATAAAGTGCATAGATTACATCACAACAGTGAAGATAGAGGGCAGTATGAGAATAGAGAGAAAAATCAGAAGTTTATTTACCTGAATGCCACATTTCAGGCAGAGCCATATGTCAGAAGGCATTACGGGCTCGCCATCACATATTCTTCTTTCCTTCAAGCACTCTGTACATACAGACCAGAGATTTTGAGCCACTGCCCTCTTCACATTACGCACATCTACTGCCTGACTTACATGCTGGCACGTAAGGCCTACAAAAGAAGTTTTAAAAGTATAAAGGCAGACATTTAGTAAGTGTTATGTCTGACATCCTGTTCAGTATTTACAAGATGGTAAGCCAGACAAACTATCACATAACTTTTAAGAGAGTACAGTTATGATAATTCATGACCAAACATGATCCTCCCTCTAATTTCCCCCTTTTAAGACAGGCAGCACTTCAGCAGAAAGATTTCCAAGGTGTTACAAACTGGAGTACTGGGAAATACCTGCTGCTCACAATAAACAATAAGATATATTGAGAGAAGCAATTGCAGCAGGACCCTAAAGGATCTCTCCAGATACCTGTTTCAATATATCTTGCCACTAGGAAAGCACTGATGTTATCATTCTCCATTTCCCTCATTTGGAAACAGTTTGCTTGGGTACTGCCTGGCTTAAGAGATAGGATGTGGGGGTGGCATTGGGATAAGTAGTCATGATTTCAGACCGCCATTACTGTAGCTATTTCTGAGAATGCTGGATCTTGGCCTATGTTCATAACTTAGGAATGTGGCACAGACCACAGGACAAAGTGAATGTCATTTAAAATCTCCTATTCTACAAAATATGTGTGCCTTTCAGAGCATCACTAATAATAGTGGTCACAGCTGAAGCTGTGAATGTTGTATAAGTTTCTGCATCTTCCCCTTCATCTTTAAAAAAAAGCCATAATCCCAAAACATTATGTGTCCTTTTCTCCTTTGCCCCACCCCGCACCCACCCAGCATATGTTGTTTATAGATTGTCTCCATTAATTTAATCCTTTCCAACCCAAGCCATTACAAATACCTATAAAGTATGACCCCCTTATCCATGGACTCAATATCCATGGTTTCAAAAAAATATTTCTTCCAGAAGTGCTTGTGGGTCAGGTATTGGAAAATCCAGGGACCGGATGCGACCCCTTGGGCTCTTTTCTCAAGCCCTTCTCTCTTTCCTTCCTCCTTCCCTTCCTTCCTAACCTCCCTCTTTCTCCCTCCCTCCTTCCTTCTCTTCTACCTTTTTGTCCTTCCTGCCTGGAGGCTTTTCCGCAGAGGCTGTCTATCAGGAGTGCTTTGATTGTGCATGACAGGGAGTTGGACTGGATTGCCCTTGTGATCTCTTTCAACTCTAGGATTCTAGGATTATATATCAGGAGTAGGCAATACGAGGTCTAATGGATACACTTTTTCTTTCCTGTCCACCATCTCATCCTGACCAAGGCTAACCCTTTTGGGATCCAAACATTTCCTGTCTTTCCTTCACTTTCTGCCGCCAAAAGAGAAGAGGAAGGGGAGGAAAGGGTAGGGTAGGGACTTTGGGAGAATCCCCTCTCTCCCAGTCTACTTTGGCATGCCATTTGGCCCCCAAGTTAGAAAGTTTGCCCATGCCCGGTCTAGGTCCTCTAGTTGTGATTATATAATATTCTTCTAATTCAAGCATTCCACAAAATAGCACTACAGAACCTAGAGGGGCCCACAAATGGATGTTTTTGTGGGTCTCTCTAGGTCTGCTTTTAGCCCAAGTACAGTCAAATATAAGATTCACTATTACTCACAATTGCAAGTATCTACATAGAATCCTGGAAGGTATTGCAGCAGGTACATAATTTCACTATAGTTCTGCAAGCATACTCCCATTACTTTTCTAAGGCTAAGATTCAATCATACATAATTAGGGCTTAAATGCAACCAACTCTGCCACCAACAAACTCCAATTAAATTAGAAACATGCATGCTTTTCAATGGCCCATATCTACACAAGCCTGTACCTTGCTTGGTGGATAATGGTGATTTGTTGATCATTAGACTCACAAAACATTAAACGCAACATCTTCAAATATAAGTAGCTACCAAATACCCACATTGGCTATGACTATGGCATAGCTTTCATACCTGCTATATCATCGGAAGAGTCTTCATCCTGAGGATGATTTGACTTTTTGTGTCTCTTACTTCTGTCAGAGACCACTCTTGATGGATCTTTTACCCGCATCTATAATTTACTGGGGGAAAAAGTGAGATACACATTAGTAACATGAAAAGATGTGACTTCTATAGATAACCCTAACATATTGCATTATGTTCATAGATATATAAAAACAGTTTTAATGTTAGCTCAAAGAGACCAGAAACTTCCCTGGAAGTAACTCTTCCCACTGTCACATTGGCTCCCAATGACTTTTTTAAAGCTGTGATTGTGTACTATGCCACATCTTTTAAGTCTCGTTTATGTATCATACTATATAATGACAAAGAAGTCTGCCAAAAACAGGGGATGAGGGTACATCAAAATATAGCTATGTTAATATAACACTGCCAATATAATGCAAACTAATTAAGTAACCTGAGATCTTTGGTTGGAAGAATATTAGAATGCCATCACCAGCTGGTAGTATTATTCAGGCAAGTAGCAAGTTATCTCTTTCCCCAACATTTAACTATGACTCACATCTCACATTACATTCTATTCCAGTCTTCTTTCACAAAACTCAGAGTAGTAGGTGTTTGGGAAAAGCTACCCTGAAATAAAGCAGAGCATCCAAAATACAAACAGGATACTAAAAGTTGAGCATTCAGCTCATTAGCGACCAGAGCGTGAAGTGCCATTGGTTGTGGCTGTATAGAATTCAGAGCTTAGGCAGGAAAACATACAGAGTCCAATCTTTAAAAATCACAAAAGATGTATTTTACAATAATAAAAAGGGACTGCATTTCTCAGTAATCAAGAACTGGGTCTGAGTTACTGTAACACCCATCTCTTCTAAGGTTTCAAGGGGTGGACAGGACACCAATCACTACATCTCTCTAACACACATGTAGAGAGATCTCAAAGCACACAGCACATACAAAGATGTAAGAAATTGAAGTCAGATTTTAAAAGGCTTGCAGCACAGAAATATCCATTCTACACAACCAATCTGAATGAGATCAGAAAGAGAGAAGAGAAAAGAAAAAATACATTTCCAACAGTCATATCGGAGACATGGGAGAAGGGAATCCCTCAGCCCAGGCATGTAGCCGGGGGGGGGGGGGGGGGGGGGGGGAGATGAATGGACGGAGTAAGTTGTCATGTCATAAACATTAACTTAGCTTCATGTCCAGTGATAATTTGAACCAAGATCGCCCAACTCCAAATACAAAGCTTTCCCTATCATATTAAAGAGGATTATTTAAGTTGTTATCTATTTTATCAATCAATGGTTGCCAAACACTTATACTCATGGTCTTTCTGAACAAGGCTAGATTGCAGATCACAAACCACAAACAACAACAGGAATTGCTTCCTCCTCATTCTAAGAATAACATATTTCATACGAAGGGATGCAGATGCACTTTGTAACTACCTGTGGCATTTTTTGATGTCCAGAGCTAGCTAGCCTGTCATCCAATTATGGGCAGGATCACATTCATCATGACTAGCTACTGGACAATTTCATCAATCAGCAGATCAGATGTTTCAGCACAGTGACAGCTCTGAAAGCCTTTCAAGGGAACAAGCACTTAATGCTTCCTAGAGCAGTAAAACAACCAGAACCACAGACTGGTAGTGGCAGCAACACTCCTTTCATCCCCCAACTGTCATCTGAAATTCTCAGTGTGTCACAAACATCGCCTTTTGCACAAGAGGATGTCCCACATACAATGAGTACCTCTTGTGAAACCTAAAAAGTTTCAAGAAGGTTGTGTCAACGATCCATTGTTATTGTCCTGTAGGGTTCAGCACAAATCTAAGAATGGCACCATGGTCAGATGTCAACATATCTAGTCAAATTTTCCAAGGGGATTCATGTAAACGTAATACAACCAATAACATTCCCAGAGGGAGCAGAAGCAGTGCCTCAGGACCACTTGTACTTTCCCCCCGTAAAGTAAAAGTGTATCCGCTGAAGCACATATACCTAATTCATTTAACTGGTCCAAAAAGATACCATATAATCAGTGGTATCGAAAACTGCCGTGATGCCTGGTAGAATCAGTGAGGTCAAACTACCACCGTCAACAAAGGCCATCCCTAAAGCAACCAAGCAAGTCTCCATCTCAGACTCTTGTTAGAAATCAGATAGATTACCTTGGTTCCATTTCATAAGCACCTGGAGCTGGCCCACCAGTGTCTTTTCTGCTACTCTGGGTAGGAATGCCAACTTGGAGGCATTCTTGATTTCCCAAAGGAACTAGAAAAGGGCTTCTTCCTTAATTGCCTTTATTTCAAAGAAGGTGAAATAAACCTTTCTCATTGTAAGCTTTGGCCCCATTCATCTCTGAGGCTACTTTGACTGATTCCGATTCTTTACACTGATCTCAAATGCCAAGGATTAAAGACACAATGTAACATGGATTGAATCAGGCACCAAACCCATATTATCAAATGTCACCAATTACAATTAATTAACAAACAGAAACGTTATTGTAAGGAGCTGTCAGGACTCAAACTGTGTTCTCCATCCATTCATTTTCAGCATCTGGGCTGCAAGTCGCTCCTGGTGTGAGAGAATTGGCCGTCTGCAAGAACGTTGCCCAAAGGACGCCCGGATGTTTTACCATGCTGTGGGAGGTTTCTTTCATCCCCCCGCCCTTCATCACATGTAGAGCTCTAAACCCTCTTCTGGAAGGTTTACCACAGAGAAGACTGAAAACCACAGCATCCACTTTGCTATTTATAAGAACACTCAACCAGTCTGTACAGTTTACATATTATCAGAACTCTGGAATCCCCCATGGTGAAATGAGTTAAACCCTTGTGCCAGCAGGACTGCTGACTGAAAGGACAGTGGTTCAAATCTAGGGAGCATGGTGAGCTCCCATCTGTCAGCTTCAGCTTCTCATGTGGGGGGACATGAGAGAAGCCTCCCACAGGATGGTAATACATCTGGGCGTTCCCTGGGCAACATCCTTGCAGACAGCCAATTCTCTCACACCAGAAGCAGCTTGCAGTTTCTTAAGTTGCTCCTGACACACAAAAAAAAAACAGAACTCCAATGTGTTTTCCAAACAAAATGCAATCACCATATGGAAGCTACAACATAGCAAAATTAGTAGCTGATGGTTAGTCCACTGCAAGTGCCACATTTGTGTACATTCTAAAAATAGTTTTATTCTATAAGAGCAAGACCATGACAAGAATGCACAAGATGCACAGCACAGTACCCTCAGAGCAAACAGGAAACCAAAGATACCAAATTCACGTACATGTTTCACTACTGTTTACTTTTCTTCGTCACTAATATATTCAAGAAACCTTCTAAGAATTAAGGGATATGGTGAAAAAGGGAAAAAAATCCTTGCTTGGTGACTTCACTTCATGATCCTAATTTATAAGTTGCTTTTATGGTCAAAGATCCCGCAGAGCTTGGAGATAATGGGTTTGGATGTGCAGCTCTGGTACAGCCTAGGGAAAATATATATGTATACAGCGGCCAACAAGGAGGTAGGATGTCAGCCTGATGAAATGATTAGCACTGTTTCCCAGGAAGCCAGTGACTAACTGCCAGGAGTGTAACGTTACATCATTTTTCCTCCACATAGCAGGCTGCCCCAGTTTGTTCTTCATGACACATGTCAATCTCAAACCAAGGACAAGTTGCTCTACTTTGGACACTACCAGCAAAACCCAAGAGACAGATGGTGTGCTGCTACACCACTTAAGGGGAAACTAATTTAGAGAATACCAGCTTTGCAATATTTCCCCAAGAAATCTGACAAAATCTTTACAAGTCAAGTAAATTATAGGGGAACTTCACAAGTCAGCAGCACACAGCATACTGGCGAGCTAAAATACTGCCTCCATTTTGGAGTATGAAAGACAGGTTTCTAGGATGTTAAATTCTAACAACTAGCACCAATAATATGAAGCATTTGTCTCACTGCAAATGCATAAAATTAACTGAAATTCAAGCTGCGAATGTCTCACTTGCATTGGAAACAGCTAAACCAGTGGTTCACAACCTTCTTTTGACCAGGGTCCACTTTGACCAGGGACCACTCTCCAACATTAGTACCAAAAGGGCTACAAATCAGTTTTTGGTCAACTTTTGTTTCGGTTTGATTAGGAGTGCTGATTCAGAAAATTGCATTGGATAGACCACATCAGCTCTAGCTTCTGATACAGAACATATGCCATCCAGTAGTCACTATCTGCTCACCCTCAGAAAGCCATATTTAATAATCTAGAGGTGATGTGGTAGTAGTAATTTTTCTGGGTAGTCAGCCTCTCCCCTCCTGACATCCCAGTTGCCTCGGCACTATAAGACGGTTTTGCGAGACTAGTCACTCTTGTTACCATGTGGTTTTGAGATAATGGTGTAGTAATGATAAGGTTGCGGACCGTATATTTGTTCTTGTGGATCACAGGTTGGGAACCCCTGAGCTAAACAAACCATGGAGCCTACCTCCAAAATTAGTGTATTAGAATCATAGAATCATATAGCATTATTTGTAATCAAGAAATATTTATTCAGTTTTGTTTTCTTCCTTAACAAATCAGAGAAAGAAGCTGATAACAAATCTTGTATTCTTTCTCAAGGTTTAAGGGAAGCTGCCAACCGCACAACAAAGTGCTTGGACTCTAGAGACCAGAGTTTAATTTCCTGCTCAGGTATGGAAACCCAGAGTATGTCACACTCTCTCCGCTCCAGAAAACCCTGGTTTATTTACATGCTTTCACTGCTCATCCAAGTGCCCAAGCAGCATACCATTCATTCATGACAATCCACACTTTTGCAGAACTTCACTTCTCATGGTATGCAAACACACCCTTTGTAATCAGAATTACAATTTGAGAGTGCTGATTCGCCAAACAATTATGCTCTGTACTATCCATTAACCTTTTAATTTCAATGCTTCTTATAATCTTCTTTCAGTAGAAAGTTTTACTGGTCACTAAGTTACCAGATGCTAGGGGCGCATCTAGTGTAGAATTAATGCAGTTTAACTGTCGTGGTTCAAAGCTATGGAATATTGGGATTTGTAGTTTGAGGAGGCATCAGTACTCTCTGGCAGAAAAGAC